CCCCAAAACCCCAAAACCCCAAAACCCCAAAACCCCTTATAAATGGGATTAGAATGAAATAAAAGAAATTAAAATAATTATTGCATTCCAAAAAGTAGGATTTTCTAAAATGCAGCTGTTCTGAAATGCGAATCCCAATTCAGAATTTTGGCCAAGATTTTACAAGGATTAGGGATTAGCCTTATATCGAAGAACATCTAGAATTAGCAGATGGCTTGAGGATTCCTTTTAAACTACAATTTTACTTATAAAAGGAATGAAAGAAGTTAAAGATTAGGATTAAATAATCTTCTTGTTGTAAATACTTAGACTGACATACTCAAGACCCTTGAAACTATGGAGCCTTGGATTCAAGCTCAGCTTTGAATTAAATCCTATGACCGATAATGCTGCCCATTGCATACATTTTAAAGTTTCATATAGATGGAAAAGAAGAAGATAGACCCAAATTTCCTTGAAGCATTGACCAAAGTGTAGAATAGCAGCTTAACCCTCTATAGAAATGAATTCTGGGATGAGATCCGTGAGAGTGAAATCAAGAAGGAGGAGATTCAGTTTGATAATGGCTATATTTTGTACTGCGATCCAATAATGAGCAGAATAATCTATCAAAGATTTTGTAAATAGCCATCTTGATGAATGTAAGTGGAGGATGATCATATGTGTAGATAAATTTGTAGGAGATTACAGTCATGTTTAGGAGCTTTTTAAAGTCGTCAATGATGTACCTTGGGACCAGAAGGCTATGATACACGGTAAGGAATTTTCGAGACTTTAAGAGAGTAAAGAGGAGAGATTGTTTTAGAGATTTCTGGGAAGTAAAGTTGAGAGAATTGTGGATCTAATTTGATATTATTGAGTTTTGTGATATTTTATATCAACTTTTTTGATAAGAGTATGGATTTCTCTCAAAATTATCATAATTCTTGAAATTATTTATTAATTTGAAGGATTTTTGTGATTTCTTATAGAGCTAAACACAGAAGTATCAAAATTTGCTTCATATGAATCCAAGTACAAAGGTATATTCAAAATAATTCTTCCAGTGCTTAACTCCATTACAACAGAGTGCTGAGATCCAGTTATAAGTAGAGCTCTTTACAAAAGAGCAAGGAAGCTGTATTTTCAATTCTTATTTTTAGCTACAAAAAGGTAAAGAAGGAGTGCAAAGAATTCAAGAGATCATATTTTTATTCAATCCTGGGTGAAAGCTACTACAGAGATCTCCCTTGTAGCCTTGAAAATATTATAAATACTCCTGGGAGTGTACTCAGCAAGGAGAATATATCCTTGACTGGCATGGGCATTGCTTCATATGGTAAAGTTTACTCTAAAAACTTCAGGAGATAAAATTTCTGCAGTTCATAGAAGCCATCAAGAAGTTCTTCAAAAGCGTAAGTTTTTATTTAACCAGCTTTGTAGTTAGGCACAAAATCAAAGAGAAGGTAGAGATTGCTGAAGTTGTGATGAGCATTAATAGAATTCAATAAGTTTAGGTTTAGTGTTATCTGAAGATAACTTCTCATCGCTTTTCAACTCTGAAATTTAATGTGTATATAGGAAGATACCACTAAAACTTTAGCTAAAAGAGATAAATAAAATAAATAAAATAAAAACTCTTCTTTCAGCTAAAGATGATATTATAAAAGAGCTTGAAGTTGAAGCTGAAAAGTGGAAAGCAGATTTCTTCAAATTGAGGTATGCTCAAATCTAAATTTTATATTAAGCTTGATATCTAGACGCGAGGTCAAAAGAGGAAAATAACGATATCGATGAACTATTCAAAGAAAATCTTCAAATCGAGCAAGAAAACCAAAGGTATTTCTCTTTCTCTAACCCCTTCCTCTCTCACTACTAAAATCGCCAAAACTCTCTTCCACAAGAGAGGCCCATTCTGTTTTTTATGCTATAATATTCTTTGAAGGGGCTTAAGGCTCCGACTTGGGTGGGAAGACAGGGGAGAATGAAGATGGGGGGGAAGTAGTAGTAGAATGGTGAAATAAAACTATGGTTAAGCTCGGATTTGGACTTGTTGTATAAAGCAGCATTTTTATTTTCTTTTCGATTGAACTCAAAAAGTAATCTTAAAATTTATGCAAACAAATACAAAATTTTAGCTTCGCCCTTTCTTTTTTCCCATACTTCTCACTAAATACACAACATCAATGCCTCAAAAACACCACTACTATACCTTCCAAACCCAAAATCTTCTCCAACTATCCTAAAATATCCCATCTACCACCAAATTCCTCCATCCCCAACCCCTTCCATCCCACCCCAATCTCTCCAAAAGCTACCACCTCCCCCACTTCCACACTCAACCACCAGTCTGTTCCTCTTCTACCTTCACTTTCACTAATGACTGGGCTAAGAACATGCATAACCTGACCAATATTTAGGATCAAAGGTAAAGTCAGAAGGATAGGGGAACAACAGGGATTAAGCTTATACTTTTGCATTCTTTATGTATTGTAGATGAGAACAATGCGTTGATTGATCATGAGAAGGAGAAGACAACCGATTTGTTAGGACTTGAGAGTGATGGAAATAGCTCGGAAAAGTCTTCCTCTGTAAAGATGGAGAGTATTCATTTTGAAGAATCGAAATTTGATGATAGTAGGTAAGGAATGGAATGTTAGGGTTGGGTTCTAAATTTCAGAGAGGTTTAAGAATAGATCGATTAGGAATTTTAAACTATATTCTTACAGAGTTTTACTGGATTGTTAGACAACTGTTGATAAATGCCATTACTTTTCTTTTACATGTTTACAACTTACTGATACTTCATAGCATGAACGATGACAAATCAGAGTTAGGGTCCATCTTTCCGATCCAAGATCTAAACCTTGAAGAAGTAGAAAAGAAAAATGCTGAGGAAAATGAGGAGGAAGAAGCCAACGAAGAGGAAAGCATAGCAGTGGCTATAAATACTTAATCTTCTGTTTGAAATAATCCAGTTTACAAATCTCAATGCAAATTTAGCCAATAAAAACCAGACTAGAAAAGCATGCTTAGCAAAATAGATAGCAATAGTGTAATAACGGAGTAGCTTTAACACAACCTCGCACAGGCTAATTAAGGCTGAAATAATTGAGGCTATCATGGCGCAATTATTATCAATTCGCCTAAATTGATTGCTCCAGCTCTTCTTCTTGGAAGCCCTAAGTCTTGGAATTATATTATTCTGAATAGAAAGTTTCAAGTTAATTGGGAAGTTATGGGGTTTTGGGGTTTTGGGGTTTTGGGGTTTTGGGGTTTTGGGG